TAGCAGATTTATTCTCTGTTTGAATGAAAGTACATATATAGCAGACAAATCTGTTAAAAGACACTTTCATTTCATGTCAGCTGCTTTTCTTGTCAACATATCATTCCCTTTCAATTTTTTTAGTTTGTTCTTTAGATAAAGGAGTCGAGTCTTTGTTTTATTCCTCGACTTGGTTGCAATTTGTATTCTAGGAGTTTGTTGTTCTTGCTAGTCTTCCTGTCTCTATACAGCTGAAATGTAAACATCCACTTTTCACCATTTGAAGTTTATTCAACTTTTCATTTATTTCAGTCTCTCATTTCACTTTTTTTCAATTCACACTATTGTAATTTTGTTTTATTCTCCAATTCTCAAACTTCATTATTTTCTATCCTATCAAGCTCATCACTCTTTGAACTACACGTTTCATTGTTTTTGGGATATCTCTTACTGATTCCATCAAGCGAATCCTTCCCAACTACAAACACTTTCTTGCTTTCTYCTCCAAAACTTGTCGGACGAATACTCCGTCGCCTCTCAGCCTTACGGCACARAAAAAGATTCTTATAAGCTCTACGGAATGTTCTATTCATGACACCATAGATTATAGGATTGATAGCTGACGAAGATAGTCCACACATTGTGAACATGACATACCATTGACGATCAAGCGTTGATCCTCCACGTATCAGATCCGTCAACTCGATGCAAAAAACTGGCATCCAACATAGAAGAAATCCAACGACAGTCGCAAACAAAGTCTTGGTTACTTTGATATCTTCGACTGTGATTCTCTTTTCTCCTGCGCTTCTCTTTTTGTAGTTGTTCATGAAGTTTTTTTGGTGTTTACGGATGGCGAGGAAGACTTTAGAGTAGCAAATAATGATGACAGTCGTTGGAATTCCAACGAAGATGATCATYAAATACATCGTTAGCCAAATGACTTGTTTTTGGTAGCAGAAGTATTTTCCTGGTTGGAATTGATAAGTATAACCCGCCATTAGCGAGGGAGAAGCAGCGAACACCCCGAGAACGATTGCAACAAAGATATACCATCTTGTTCTGGAGGCAGTAAAGTACTTTCTATGCAGGTTGTTACGTACTATTCCAAAGTAGCGGTTCACGGCCGTGATAGCCAAACAAATAAGCGAAAAGCATGCTAGAAAGATACTCATAAAACCCTGGAATTGGCAGGCAGCAAAACTGAACGGCCAGTACCCTATAGCAAGTACTGTTATAGACCATGGTGTTATTAGAATAGCAAAAGCAACATCAGAAACAGCGAGTGCTGCGACAAAGTAGTTCGGTATTGTCCGTAAAGCTCGGTTCTTGTAAAGGATAAAAAGAACTGTACTGTTGCCCAAGAGAGCCATAAATGAGATGAAAGTATCAACGAATGTTTCGATGATGACAATTGCAGTTGTTCGTGAGGATAGGGAACGCTGGAGAGTTGAATTCGCCTCTGGAAGATACCACATCTTTTGGCAAGGTGTTTGAATTAGGTAAAACTATCTTGGCGGCTTTTTTATATCGTGGCACTGGTAATTAGGGACCTTGGGCGATTAACACTGGACTATGAATACAAATTTATAATCTTAAAATACGAATATTCTCAGCCATTTAGGACTTGATACATTCAATGGTAAAGGATTGATATACCTTGAGTTATATTAGGAGTTTGAGAGAATTTTTCTTGCTTGAGTGGACCGGTGCTAAGAGCGTTGAAGTCAATGGCAGAAATGAAGCTGGTGGGTTGTCAAATGTCACCTTGCTGTGGTATAGAGGACAAAAACCCTTTTAGATTGATAATAAAGTAAATAGTGCTTTTCGCCTGCCACTACAATTCCATAAGAGTATCATAAAAAGAATAATTAATTCCAGGTAATTTAAATCTTGTAGATAAAAAACCTGATCAAATATAGACGAAAACGACAAATATTCATATATTTTTTCTCGAGGCTATGCCTTGTATACAAATACATACAGAGTTTTGAGCCAGTTTAGTGCAGGTGATGTAAAGCTGAAAGTTCATCAGAATTGCCCCAATCAGAATGCATTTTAGTGTTTTATTTGGCGGTCTGTTGAGACGTTTTCAATTGCATAATTTGCTAACGAAGAGACCCAATCAAATCTCTTGTTTATTTTTATCRTCCATGCTAACACAAAGCCAATTATTTTATTTATAAGATTACTAAACCAATGTTTTTCCTTTCCTAACTAAATTTTCCTTTTCCGGCGGGATATTGGACAGACAGACAGACAAACGGACGGACGGACAAACGGACGGACGGACAAACGGACGGACGGACAAACGGACGGACGGACGGACAGACAGATTTTTTTATTCGGTATCAAGTATTAGAATATACATAGACATTCACCCGAATAATTGTATGAAGGCTCGAGAAGCTGCGAAACCACTCGGCTACGCGTCATGGTTTCCTACGCTCCTCTTGTGTTCTCTCAACATCCCGCGTGTTTTGATCAGATTATCAAACACGGAAAACTGCTAATTTATTGCCTAGTTTGGGTAAGAAGACCACATTCTATATTAATTCTGTCTTGTATGTGATCTTTTTATAAAGCGGTTGTGGACGTATTTTACTACTGCTACTGCTATCATTTTGTGTGGACTCATAAATAGCAGAAACAAACTCGTTCTCATTTGACAAAGAGATTCATTGTTTTATGTTTTTATATCTTTGAAGAGTTCTTCCATTAGATTTGAATATAGTGCACAGTGAATAAGGAAGTGGCTCTCATCTTTTAGCACCATCTGGGCTATGGAAGCACCTCCTTTCTTCTATTTATATATATATAAATCTGTGAATCAATTTTCCGTAAAATAGTGCTCAATACATCGATAGAAGTAGAGCGGAATATTTTTTTTGAAGAAAAAGTCAAGACAACATTTTTCCCGACAAGCCTGTTTCGTGAATTGCTTCACTCTTCACTCTTCCTGAAGAGTGAAGCAATTCACGAAACAGGCTTGTCGGGAAAAATGTTGTCTTGACGTCAAGGTCGTGATTACTAATTCTTAATTTGCTCAATTGTTTTCTGTGTTCAAAATTTTTAACTTCGATAAAATAATTTTCAAGAGATTGTGATCTGTGTTTTTTTTTTTTTACCAGACGTTATGTCCTTAATTCTTTTTTTGGCCTGAGGGGCCTCTTCTAGCTTTTTCATCGTTGAAGAGTTCCCCCCGCCAAACTTGAATTTTTATATCCGTTAATCTAGTTTTAATTGTTTTGAATGGATTCTAACTTGAACGATGATTGCATTTTATTTCAAGCCAGACATTCCCTAAGCCGCTTCGGTCTAATAAAGATTTTACTTCACTAGAAGAAAAAAAACAAAAAACTCAAAATCAAAATCATCCCAGCGAGGTCGGTAATTAATTTTTCCGAATTTAATTCTAAGGGCTTTCGCCCGGAATAWCCTCGTTCCCAAGCACTATAAATTACTTCTATATCTTCAAAATCATTGTTGGGTTAAAAAACGCGTGGACGGAAGTATTCTTGAAAAATGACATAATTTATTTTTCTCTCGTATGCACCTCAGATAATAGGCTAGCTGACTCGATTAGTTGTTTGACTACTTCAGGTAACCTAACACCTTTTTTTCTATTATTATCCGTAAAATGTAGTAAGCATATCTTAATGTGGTGTAAATAAATAAAACTGATAACGTGTTAGAAGCGACATGCTTTCTGCTATTGCAGCATTTTGTGATCATTTTTCGAATTGTATCACCAGATGCATCTAGTTACATCGATTCGCGGTGCGCATCGTCATAATAAGAGCGAAGCTTTTTTCCATCCTAAATTAATCCCACAATTCTTTGCACCAAGAGTTCATTACCAGTCTTCTTTTGAATTTCGGAAAGGCACCAGATAGTCTAACTAGGCGCGCAAAGCTTTATAGAAAAAATAACCATCTGGTGTGCTATGTACACCTCAATGCATTTGATCGCGTCATCTTCTTTTGGAAAGTTTAAAAAAAATTTTATTTGTGCACTGACCAAGATATATATAGTAAGTGTGACGTTGGTCATATGGAAAAATCCACTTCCGGATCAAAACTAAAAGCAGTTCTGTAAAGACTTTTAACACAAATTGTAAATTTCGTACTTGTTGATTGGTCCTTTTTTATATCAATATGAGGACAGGCGAATAAACCGACGTCAAAACGCGCGCGCTCTTTCCTTTGATCCTCTTTCCTTTGATTTCTAAGAAGCAGAAGCAAATTGCTTGTAAGTTCTGACACGATATTTTGTCAATCGATTGAAGTGCTTGGTGTGAAGCGTTTACTTTCGTCATGCTTCCCTTCAACATGACCTTTACGGTTATTGCTATTTAGTTTTCGTAGGAATAAAAGAGAAACGATACTCCAATTATTCGATTGAAATTATTTTTTTGAGTTATATTATTAGAACACAAACAGTCACAAGCTTGCTTCGAGAACATCTTAAAGTTATTCTTAAATTTCTAAGAAGCAGAGTAACAACCAATCAGATTGTTAAGAGATGTGACACACAGACGGTACGTCACTGTTTTTCATCGCAGGTGGGAAGGTTGGTAAGCGTCTGTACAAAAGCTAAAGCAAAATAAAGCTAAAGCAGCACCTTCTCCTCAGTTATTTTAAGACCCTGAGTGCCGATCCGGCCGAGGCTTGAACTACGACCTCCCGCACAACAGACGGACGCTCTTACCAAACTGAGCTAACCGGGTGGCGGTTTTATCAAGATGCTTGCATCATATCCAGACACAATTTTCGTTCAAACTGATCCTTTTTCGTTGTTGTCCTTCAACCACTCATTGAACTTAAGAAGCAAGGTCGACTCCGTGAAACGTACAGACAATATGCGTCGATTAATCCCATCGCAAGTGCCAACCCTGAAGACCCAACATTGTTTGGGTCATCTCATCCCCAACATTTCGCTAGAACGGCATCGTCGGTTATTCGTATGTGTATGTTGAAAGCTACCGGCATTGAATATGATCATTGGCCTAAGATCAGTGATGATTCTCAGGAAAGAAACGAAACAAACTGTCTTTTCAAATGTGAAGTTTCCCCTAATGATAAGTATTATTGCCTGGCAAATGGTAGCAAAGATAAAGCAAGAAGATACTGGAGCAGGTACGATCAAATTCACCCTCATTTCTTGATACAAGATAAACTAAGTGAGAATTATGGAAGACAAGCAGAATTAAACAGCATGATGGCTATCATCAGAAATGACTTCACCCAAGTAATAGAGATTTTAACAAACTTCTCTTTCACATGCAGAAAAGTAGAGACGACGGATGGAAAAAAGACCACAGTGACATACAAATATGATAGCCCGCGTGTACAGGTAATGTGCATTGTGCTAGGGATTGAAAACAATGGAAAAGAGGATGAAGAATCCACAAAATTCTTGAGAAGATTGATCCAACCGTGCCAAACGTCAAAGTTAAATGCTTACGTTAAAAAAGAGATGGACGTCAAGACACCGTCGTCCGGGATGACTGCCAGTTACGATGAAGGACAACAACAAGAACAAGTAAAACAGGAACAAGAACAAGACGAGAGCGGTGAAGGATCACGAGGAGGAGAAGAGGAAAGAAAAGTGCAAAAGAAAAAGGAAAAAAAGAAAAAATAGAGCTCGATATCTTCAAGATACATGCATCACTCAAATCACATCAACAAATTTTACCATTCAACTATTTACTTCCTGTAGAATCAATACTGAAAATATTGATTTAGGGTTAAAGGCACTTTTTACAATAACAAGGAACATTATCATAGTACCTGGGGAATGAAAATTAGCAGTTTTCATAAAGACGGTAAAAAGTTAAAGACTTAAGTTCTGATCAACTGCAAAGCGACGCCGTATTTAGTTGCTAGGAAATAAAAATTAGCATTTTTTATAGACAGGAAACAGTTTAGACTTCTATTCTGATCAACTGCAAAGCGACGGCCTAGGATACCGTCACGCAGTCTGTTTTTCAGTCAGTCACGCATTAATTTCAAGCTCATAGGAACTAAAAATATATTATCATTTTGTACGACTGTATTAGTTTTAAAATCAGGTTTATATTCGTCTTAGTGCCCAGCTTATGTAATCTTAGCAACAAAAAAATAAATTGGTAAAAAAAGAAAAGAAAATGGAATCATATATGTTTCGCAAGAAAAACTTTGGGCAAGGTGTTTGAATTAGGTAGAACTATACCTTGGTATAGCTTTTTTATATCGTGACACTGGTAATTAGGGAGATTAGACCTTGTGCGATAAACGCTGGACTATGAATACAAATTCATTATCTTAAAATACGAATATTTTCAGCCAATTAGGACTCGATACATTGATGGTAAAGGATTGATATACCCTCAGTTATATTAGTGTTTTATTTGGCGGTCTTTTGAGACGTTTTCAATTGCTTAATTTGCTAACGAAGAGACCCAATCAAATCTCTTGTTTATTTTTATCGTCCTTGCTAACGCAAAGCCAATTATTCTATTTATAAGATTACGAAACCAATGTTTTTCATATCCTAACTAAATTTTCCTTTTCCGGCGGGATATTGGACAGACAGACAGACAGACAGACAGACAGACAGACAGACAGACAGACAGACAGACAGACAGACAGACAGACAGACAGACAGACAGACA